TAAATTATTTCTGTAGCACACTTTGACGGATAGCGATAATAATATGTGTGTTTTATTATTCTATATGCGTTTGATTGTGAAGAGAAGAGAACGGCTATAAAAATAATGCTATATCAGAAGTAAGTAAGCTTCATCATCATCATCATCATCATCATCTCAGCCATAGGACGTCCACTGCTGATCATGGCCTATGTTCAATCCCCCAATGCTTTCCATGTTACCCGGTTGGTAGCGGCCTGCATCCAGCGCTTTCCTGCTTGTAAGTAAGCTTAATGTCAATAAATTGCATAAAACCTAACCAGTTCAGATTGTAGGCCCCATTTTTATATTTGCCCCAGGGCCCTTGGTTAACTAGCTACGCCACTGGTGACAGAGCATACCAATCTGAAGGACATTAAAGTCTCGGTGACGTTTGATTTCACAAAAACACCCTCCCATATCAGGCAATGACAGATAATCGCTCGACCTATAATTTCAAAAGTCTACGATTAGTCGAGCTAACGCGACCGGCTTAAATAAATTATATTAGAATTCATATTTTTATTTTATTCTTATAGCAATTCCCACAAAAATATACGGGTAAATATTTTTTGTGAAATAAAATATTGTATACAGATTAATCTGTAAATTTATACATTACATTCGGAATGAAAGATGATAAACTTAATATCACGACTAAATTGGTTCAATTTGCCTATGGTAAATAAGAGAGGGTCGTGTGAGCTTTGTATAGATCGTTTCATCCACGAAGACGCGCCCCACCAATGTTCGGTCTCGGTCGCGCGGGGTGCGGGGAGTTTGATCCGAGCAATCCGTAAGGCATTATTGTAGTGTGCGTGTGCACTCATGGATGATTTAGCGTGTACCGATAACACTCAGACATTAGCGGAAGAATGGTGGGGCGCGTCTTCGTGGATGAAACGATCTTTTATGTAATAAGGACTATTTATTTTTGTTTATAATTTAAACATATCCTGAAGGTTGGTAACTCCTCAACAACTTTTTAACTGGTAGATTTCAAAATTAAATGCAACTGTTAGGCCCGTTTTCACCATCAATCCCTAATTTTTAAGCGACTCCTATGGTAACACAAAACAGGAATTTTGTTTTCATAGGGGTCACTTAAAAATTAGGGATTGGTGGTGAAAACGACCAAATTTTATAAAAATGACGACATATTTTTTTAAATCTGATTCTGACATTGATCAAATGAAAGAATATACTTTTGAGTACCAGTATCCCTTCAAAGTTTTTTTTATCAATAAATTAAAAATTAGTCCCAAAATGTTAAATTAAAAATGTGAATTCTACGTTTGTCTTAAAAATAAACCAATACCTTTACATTAACTCGCACCCGCAATACAAAATGCAATATTATTACAGACTTACGGCATAAGAGTAAAGCTGAATTCACACTTGTATTACGTGTCCTGATGTGTTGTATAATAATATGTCAATGTGAACTACGTCAATTTATAATCTGACGGAATTCACAATTTTACGGTGACATATTCCAATTTATGCTGTTTGGCTGAAATTTGTAGCCAGTGCAGTCATAAAAACCACAGGGTTTCATCAATTCATCAATGAGTTTCATAAATTGTGCTGATCAGTTGGTGCCACCGGCAAGTAAGGTCCTGTCACTTGCTTGTGGCTAAACCAGTGGCGCCAACTGCTAAGGGGTGGAGCGGTAGGACCATCGCATTTGCAATCACTAAATTGGCGCCACTGTCGAGTAAAGTCTTCTAAAGCACCAGTGGCGCCACCTGGTAAGCGCAATTAAGAAAACCCATATTCATAGGTAAAATGTTGATTCTGATCCGACACAACACGTGCTATGAATATGAATCCAGCTTTATGTGAACTTAACAAGTACGAACTGACTATAAGTATGGTAACTGAAGACTTTAAACATATAGGTATGACTTTTCAGAACCGTTCGATATTAAATCGATTGCCAAGGCAAATCGTACACTCAGCGTCAAATAGTGCGTGACACCCAAAGTGGCTAAATTTTAACAACACAACTTTATTCCCACCTCTCTTTCCCGCCGCTGCAACTCCTGTGTAGCCAGGATCTACAGCTTGACCGCCAATAAAAACCCAACCAGTGAAGATCAAGTTTGTCTCTTATTTCTATTGTAACAAAGACGTGTTGCGAACTTTTTGGCTACTTTGGGTGTCACGACCTATTTGACGCTGACTGCACCATACGTTTAAGGTTCTAAATCGCCTGACTGATAAGGTAATCATGGTAAAATAAACTTTAAATACATAGCCGTAAGTCTGAGAACGTTGTACACCCGACCCAAATGTTACAATATAATGTGACAATGTGTTTCAATTCCCTAGTGATTTTACCAGCACATAAAGTCTAAAAAAAAACTTTCCGCAATTGATTTTAGACTTTGAAATACAGCAATAAGTTTGATAATCCTTTTTAAGGAATTTCGTAATGAATTTTCACATTAGCTCAATTAATTTTGTACTTTATAATAGTGATATAAACGTCAAAATCAATCGTGGAAAGATGACTTTAGCGGCTTTAATAACAACAATAATATAGGTTAAAAGAGCTAGCCTAAAAAAATGTTTTTATGTAATCTTTCAAATAAGATTATTTAGTACCCGGCGGTAAATGTATCACATCGGCAATCATCGCATTTCCGAATACAAACGAATGCTAATTTCCATGGTCTATAAATTTTATAGGTCGCACAAAAAGAGTTGAGGCGATCAACACAAGCAATTATTGGATGGATGGATGGATGTCGACTGCGTAAAAAAGTGACATTAAATGTATGATAGATTGTACAGCGCCCCTAGCGGGAACTTTGAAGAACTAAAATCTTTTTTATTTTGTAATCCGCTCGCTAGTGATGATGTTTGATGTGAAATCACACTAAGCCCTCTGTATACGCTTGTCGCATTGACATCTTGCGTTTTTTGATTCTGAATGATTATGTATTCAATTATTACAACAGTGTTAGTATGTGTTGGTCTCAACTTTCGTTGCGCGTGCTATAGTAGATTTATCGTAACCTTAATTCGAATTCAGAACTCAGCACTTTATTGTTTGGTTTTGATAGAAGAATAGACGTGAAAAAAACGAAGCCAAAATTATCTGACTCTTTCCAAAGACAGCACATCATACAACTGAATAAAACTGTATAACACAGTATTTAGCTTGACATGCTGTCTGTACAATATTTACCGTCGGGCACTCATAAAAAACTTATTTATTTTCTGTAAGGCTCTTTTACTGTATTCATACTTTACCAATGTCCAGTATTATTGCATAAACTAAAGAATGACGTAGACACATTGCCACAGAGTCCTTTCGTTTGATTCACGCTGCGGGTATCTGGGATACGCGCGGTGTGGTGACGCTTTGTGTGGACTATATCCAACGTTACCTGGAAAAGAAGATTGAAGATTGATTAAAAGTATTAAACTGGAGATTTTTTCAATGATCCAAAACTGAATTATCATAGTAAAGATTTAGTATAGTAAAGATTTGATTTTATTAAGCAAAAAAAATTTTTTTTTAAAGTGACAAGTATAGCATTCTCATAGAAACTGGAATACGATACGTAATTGGACTTGTCGTTACGAATGAGGGCTATCGTTTTAGCGCTCACCAGTTAGCGCCACTGTAGAGTAAGGTCCTGTCACTTGCTAGTAGCGAAGACAGTGGCACCAACTGGTGAGCGCTAAAGTGGTACGAGGACTATCGCATTTGCACTCATCAAGATGGCGCCACTGTAGAGTAAGGTCCTGTCAATCGCCAGGGGTGCCAACTGTTAAGTATAAAAACGATAGCCCTCATTATAACTACTGTTTTCTTAGTGTACCCACGAATGGCCAATATATTAATATTCGAGTGACTGCTATTGTACGTCTGCTTCGTGCAAAAAAATATTTAAATGTAAACAATCAAAATTGTATAAACTTTAAATAATCTATAGTTTTAAGGTTAATTTTGTATTTCTCTTGTAAGTGAATGTATTTCTTTTAGAGAAATAAATGTCTTAAACCATAAAGGTCATAGCAGACTCATGAACTCGGAAAGGGATCGACACCGTATCGCCTTTCGCGTGCTGTTAACTGCGAGGCGAGGCGTTTGCGTTACGGTGCGGATAAGTGTGCCTGCTGCAGTTTCATACAAAGAATACTGACCGCCTCGAGTTGATACGGTTACGATCCCTTTCCGGGTTGATAAGTGTGCTACGTCTTTAAGTCGTATTTGGGTTATGAGTGGTATCCGAGTCGGTCATAGATCGTATCCCGGTCGATCCTGTACCTCTAGTACGAAAAACTTTCGAGTTCGTTTCGTTTGCGTATTCAAAGTGTCATCGAAAAATTTTGTATGAAAAATTAAACAGCGCCCCCTATATTATAGCCGCCCTAGGGGGCGCTGTTTAATTTTTCATACAAAATTTTTCGATGACACTTTGAATACGCAAACGAAACGAACTCGAAAGTTTTTCGTACTAGAGGTACTGGATAGTATTCGTCATGTTTTCGGGTTAAATGACATACCTATCCGTCACAGTCACGGGTCCTATACAAGTCGGTTACGGGTCGGTCACGTGTCGTATCCAGGTCGGTCGCGGATCGTTTCTGGGTCATAAACGGTCCAGTTACGGGTCAGTTACGGGTCATATCTGGCTCGGTTGCGAATAGTATTCGTCATGTTTACGGGTTAAATGACATACCTATCCGTCACAGTCACGGGCCCTATACAAGTCGGTTACGGGTCGGTCACGTGTCGTATCCAGGTCAGTCACGGATCGTTTCTGGGTCATAAACGGGCCAGTTACGGGTCATACCCGGGTCAGTTACGGGTCGTTTCTGGGTCATAAACGGGTCAGTCACGGCTCGTTTCTGGGTCATAAACGGGTCAGTTATTACGGGTTACATCCGGGACAGTCACGGGTCGTTTCTGGGTCATATCAGGGTCGGATACGGGTCGTATCTGGGACATGTCCGGGTCGTACTCACGTGTTTCGCTGTGGCGCAAAGCGGCGTGCAACCCCATAAGCCAGGAAAGGCCATAACAGCACGAGAGCCAGTGTGGGAGTGCTGAGTTCCTGCCACGGCCAACGCCATTGAGACGATTGCTGCAAAGAAGAACAATGACTTATTACAATGATACACAAAAAAGTACGTAAAACAATTTAAGCTTAAATTGAAGAGAAATCATCTTTACACCATTACAGCTTTAGTCAGTAGCACCTACAGATCGTTTCATCCACGAAGACGCGCCCCACCGTTCTTCCGCGAATGTTTGAGTGTTATCGGTACACGCTAAATGATCCATGAGTGCACACGCACACTACAGTAATGCCTTACGGATTGCTCGGACCACACTCCCCGCACCCCGCGCGACCGAGACCAAAAACTGGTGGGGCGCGTCCGAGTGGATGAAACGAACTGGCAGAGTTGGCAAAATACCACGGGCCCCCGACCCAAGCTCACTTAAGATATAGAGGATGCGTAGTTGATTGTACTCAATCATGTGTACGAAATGTATAATTTGTATGAAAGTGCTCGCATTACACCGATTCCTCATACAAATTAAAAGCCTTCCTAACTATCGGCCGGCAAAAAGCATATTTTTGCGGGGTATTTCTAATAATTTATTATTATTTAGAGTCTTCTTACCTGGAACGCCCGGCGATCGCCTTCGACGGCCTTGCGGAGCGCCGCTACGTCGGCTTCCAATCGCGCTAGTGTGCCCGGCAGATGCTCTAGCACTTTTAGGTCTGAAATACAAAAAAAAAGTTTTAAAAAACGTAACCCAACTATAGAAAAAATTCTACGTGCCCGGCGACCGGACTTTAGAAAAAAATTTGGGCCGGTAGCTATGAGGAATGCCAAAACCTTTATTTGCCTCAAGTGAATTAGAGAGTTATGCTCCTACAGTGGAGACTAAATGACCTAATAATAGACTATAGTCGATGATTGATACTCGCATTCACACCAATGCATTAGACATAAACTTCAAACTCCTTCTATTTATATTCTTCTGATTAATTTTGTTGCGAGTCCAATGACAGTTTGACTTTCCCCCGGGACAAACTTGACCTTTACTGGTTGGGTTTTTATTAGCGATCAAGCTGTAGATCCTGGCTACCAACACCCAGACCCGTCACAGAAATTAAAATTCATCATTTCAATTTCTGCCCGGCCGGGAATCGAACCCGGGACCTCTCGGCATAGTAGTCCGTTCTGAATCACTACACCAAACGGCCTACGCAGGAGTTGCAACAGCGGGAACGTCCACCCACAAGGTGGACCGACGACCTCATAAAGGTATCAGAAAAGCACTGGATGCATGCAGGCCGCTACCAACCGTGCGATGTGGAAGTCATTGGGGGAGGCCTATGTTCAGCAGTGGACGTCCTGTGGCTGAAATGATGACGATGATGATAGTTGATGATACTCACGTGTGAGCTGCGAGGTGATCTGGTGCGCGTGGCCGTTGCTGAGTCTCGCGGGCTGCGGCGCGGGCGCCGGCGCCGGCTCCGGCTCGCTCTGTCACATAATAACATTTCGTTAAAGTTTAATGTATTACTAAGCGGCCGCCCGCGACTTCGTACGCGTAGACCTCCTTTTACCGTTAGATATCATGTTGATAAATGGCGTTTCACGGCTTCCCCCGCATGAATATTTACGAACGTCAAAAACAGTAGTTTGTCCGGTAGATTTTAACCAATGACGATAGATGGCGCTTTTTAGACTTAGATTTATTGAAATTTATTTGTCACAATATCATCATAAATTATAGCCTATATGTTAATCTGGGTTATCTTCTATACTTATAATAAATCTGTAGAGAGGTCAATTCTGTACATTAAATATATTTTCAAAATAACTATCAGGGGGTGATTAATGATCGATACTGATGCCAAAAATGCAATCAGTAAAATTTTTGTCTGTCTGTCTGTCTGTCTGTCTGTCTGTATGTTCCTTATAGAAACAAAAACTACTCGACGGATTTTAACGAAACTTGGTACAATTATTCTTTATACTCCTGGGCAGGTTATAGGATACTTAAGAATTCCCACGGGAACGGGAATTAGCGGGAAAATCCTTTTGTATGAAAAATCTAAACCGCTTAAGTTAGACGCTTGAAATTTGACATGCAGGTACCTTAGTAAACTTAAAGCTTAGTTACAACAGGATATTGCAAAATTCCCACGGGAACGGGAGTTAGCGGGAAAAAACATTTGTATGAAAAATCTAAACCGCTTAAGTTAGACGCTTGAAATTTGGCATGCAGGTACCTTAGTAAATTTAAAGCTTAGTTACAACAGGATATTGCAAAATTCCCACGGGAACGGGAGTTAGCGGGAAAAAAAAATTGTATGAAAAAATCTGAGCCGCGTAAATAGATGAAGGGGGGGGTAAAACGAGATCCACGCGTACGAAGTCGCGGGCGGCCGCTAGTAAACAATAATACTGTAAAGTTTCAACAAAATCCGTTCAGTAGTTTTTGCGTGAAAGAGTAACAAACATCCAGACATCATGACATCCAGACATCCAAACTTTCGCCTTTATAATATTAGCAGGTTTATATGCTATTATTTGTTTAATCATTACGTAGTTAGTAGTTGGAATTTGTACAAAAATTTACACTGTCTGGTGTACTATCAAATATATAGGTATAACATATTTTCTATTTGTTAACTTTTTTCTTAGTTTTGCATTGCAGGAATTGCAGCCGTGGTTTGGTATTTTTTTTGTGCTTATCAGAAAAAAAAACATGGTGAAAGCTATGACACGTTATGCCATTATTTTTATGCTGATTTTAGAATGCGACAAAAATGCTTCCAGTGCGATAGCAAGCTACCTCTAAGGACGCGATGACACACACATCAACATCGATAAAACTTGTTACATAATGTTTTCTTCAAAAATGCTTCCAGTATACGCAAGCTGCCTCTAGTGACGGGACAGCGTAAACATAGATATCGATAAAACCTTTTAATCATGCGTTGTTTGTATTTGTATTAATTGTTTCAAAAAGCAGTTCCCAGTGATGCGCAAGCGACCTCGAGTAACGTGACAGCACACACATTTAATATCGATAGAGCTTTAATTAATGTGATATCGACACAGCCTGTTACATTGTGTTTTCTTCCAGTGATGCGCAATCGACCTCGAGTGACGGGACGGCACACATCCATATGGATAGAGCCTCTTTGATGATGCTTTGCTTCAAAAATGCTTCGAAGGCTGCCTCTAGTGAGGTGACGGTATCGATAAAAACCCTATTTGATGGTGAGTCACTTTAAAAATGCTCCCAAGCGGCCTCTAGTGACGGGACGGCACACACATCGATATCGATAGATCCTGTACGTACAATACTAACATCGACCGTGTCAATGAACTCGTCGTCGGAGTCGTGACGGTTTCGTGACGGCGACGCGCTGCGGATCGGAGACGACGCGCCACTGTCCGTTCTTGAACCTGGAATATTATATGGACATAATTATGTATGGTTTTATTGAGCAATTAACATAAACTCGTGAAGCTCTATTAATAGAAAATAAATACATATTATTTTTAAATAAAAACCATTTTGGTTTCGTGGACAATTTACACAGCGCCATCTACTTCCAAAATTCGTTCAACCAAAGAACGTCTAATGCCCGTTTTCACCATCAATCCCTAATTTTTAAGTGAGCCCTATGGTAACACATAACAGGAATTTTGTTTTCATATGGGTCACTTAAAAATTAGGGATTGATGGTGAAAACGGGCATGAGCTGGACAAAAGCCTCAAATTTAGCTTAGTACGAGGGGTTAACGGGACTATTAGTAATTTGTATAATAACAAATAATTACTAATATTCTTAAAAAAAAAACGGTTGTGATTAAGAAATGATGATCATGACTAAAGCCCGGTCTCTGAGCACGTAGAATTTTGTCTAATGACACCAAGCTACCCATCCTTATCGCTCGCGCGTAATTATGTTGCTGTTGCGCTCGCACACTCACTGCGGGCGCCCGTCCCACAGTCTCGACAGCAACATAATTACGCGCGAGCGATAAGGATGGGTAGCTTGGGGTCATTGGACAAAATTCTACGTGCTCAGAGACCAGACTATAGCTTCTCACTTACCAGCCGGCGAGTTCAACTCGGAGCGCACCCTGGTTAACACGTCTCCCGCTACTAGCGCCAGATCCCTGTTGGGGAAGCCTTGCTCATCATCGTCCACGCAGAGGAAGTTCGCCACGTCAGAGCTGTATGACATCGTCTCCACTATCTGAAAACATTTATGATTTTTTATAAATAAATAAATAAAATAAAGGCATGTCCGAAGGGATCCCGATCACATCCCCAAGCAGACTCTGGATTGGAACCCCTAAGGAAAACGCAAACTTGGCGGCGCACTGTGGCAGACGAGACGAAGAAGATTGGCAAGACTTGGAGCCAGATCAAACGCGAAGCTCAAGACCTAACGCGATGGAGGACTGTTGTGGACGCCCTCTGCCCCATCTAGGGGACATAGGACATGGCCGATAAAAGTATAGGTATAAAAACTAGTTTTGCCCGCAGCTTCGCTCGCGTTAAATTGTAGGTTAAAGGCCTAAGGCAAACGGGAATTCCCCCGCGGACGTGATTGAGAGCGGACGTGTGCTCGTGTGGTCCACATATTTCAAATTAAATAATAAATTAAATTTTGTGCGCGAAAAAGTGTCGTGCGCCCACCGCGCACGACACTTTTTCACACTCGAACCCGCGACACTGAGTGAGTGGATCTCGTCTCGGCCCAAATCGGCTATCGAAACAGTAGCTTCGCACGGTGAAATTAGTGATCCAATCTGACGTAGTGCTACGAATTTGCTTATGTGCTACGACTGACTACGACGGCTTGCCAAGGAGCTACATAACTTGACTGCTACGAAACGCTTATAAGTGTGCCGACTACGGTGAGACTCAGAGATATCTTCTTTTGTATTTGCGTGCGTACAAAATTATCACAGACATGCCTCTCAAAAGGACACCACCCCCCGCTTCGCAACAGATTGCTGAATCGGACCCCAAAACTAGTTCCGCCCCTATGACAGATACTGAAAATGAGAGTTCGAGCAACATAACCAATAGGCCCAGGGTGCGCAAGCGCCAACACGGTGACGAGATGACTGTGTTCATGTCGGAAATCAAGCAGAGTTTGGAATCCTTCAAAAAACAGCAGGACAAAATGCAGAGTACTGTAAACGACATTCTGTTACAAAACAGTGAACTAATCAAATCAGTGGACTTTATTTCGAAACAATATGAGGAAATGAAGACAAAATTTGATAAACTGGAGAAGGACCGTAAAGCGGATCGGAGCTACATATCCCAACTTGAGGACAAGCTGGAGAATATGGAGCGCACATTATGCTCGACTAAAGTCGAGATCAGAAATGTACCTATAAAATCTGGGGAAACAAAAGATGATCTTTGTTCTGTAGTGATGGAAGCAAGTGGTACATTGAATGCAGACGTCAGGCGCTCTGATCTAAAGGACGTCTACCGCCACCGCATTGGTAAAAAAGACCTCCCGTCTACAATAGTAGTCGACTTTGTCACCGCCGTCACTAAAGAAAAGTTTATACATGGGGCTAAACAATTCAACAAGACATATAAAGAAAACAGGCTCAATACAAGTCACCTGAAGCTGGAAGGCCCCGTGAAACCCGTTTACATATCAGACAGATTAACCCCAAAAGCCCAGCGACTTTACTTCCTCTGTCGCAATTTTGCAAAGGAGAACAAATATAAGTACTGCTGGACAACTCATGGTAGAGTATTCCTCCGCCGTGCAGATGGTCAACCACAGATACATGTTAAGAACGAGTCTGACTTGAAGGAGCTTACTGAAGAAAAATGACTATCTATCAGTGCATCAAAGGACAGTGACTGCTATTGGTTTTCTTGCGATCTTTTGTTTTCGTTTAACTTTATAATTTATAGCATGTTAAACTTACTCAACACATATTCACTCACATATCAAACAAAATCCAGTCATTTTAACACACACCACAAATACAAACACCCACCTACACCACCACCAATCCAAAAAATCACACATACACTTACTTGCAATAACACACACTCGTATACTTTTTGGAACTTTTACTTCAAATTCTCCTTATTTTTTTATCATTTTCGTTATAGTTTTAAATGTTTACTGCCAGGAACAACTCATAAAGTCAAAATTAATTCTTCTTTATTATGAATAATACAAATCTCAACATAACTACTGAACTGGATATCATATCTGTGGCCTCATCATATAACTGCAATACTGAAACTTGTAATGAACTTATTGGAAAAACTAGTCCGTCTTTAAATATTCTGTGTCAAAACATTCGCAGTGTTTATAAAAATATGGATGGCTTGTTGGTTCAATTAGCAAACTTTACTTTTGACTACGATGTACTTATTTTAACAGAATGTTGGCTGAACAGCCACAAACCTATACCTAACTTACAAAACTATGACTTATATTTCTCTCGTAAATGTCTTAACCAAAACGACGGTATTATTATCTATGTCAAAAAGGGTTTGAAATGTACTGTTAGCGAACCGGAACCTGTTGGTGGAAATTTCCTCTTATTAAACCTAGAACCTGATATTTTTATTCTAGCTACATATAGGTCTCCCTCTTTACATTGCACAGACAGCTTTATGAATACAATTGATAGTATAATTCGCCCTATTAAGTCAAATAACGTAATACTTGTTGGTGACGTTAATATAGACATTAAAGCAGATAGTACTGATAGGCACTGTGCATCCTATCTTAACCTGACGGCGGAACTGGGTTTACTTGCTGGTCATTGTTATCCCACCAGACTATACAATTGTCTGGATCATGTTATGATGAAAACCACCTTGACAGCATCTATTTTTGTCTTGGATCCATCAGTAACTGACCACGGGCTAATAGTTTTAAATCTTAGTCTGTTACGACCTGTGAACAGGAGAATTATAAACTATAGACAGACTGACTTTGACGGTGCTTTAAAGTACTTGGAGAAGACAGATTTTTCTTTTATTATTTCGTCTCCAAATGCAGATGCAGCCGCAACTCTCTTTGTTGAGAGATTATCCGAAGCTATAGCCACAAATACTAGAATTCGCCGTCGGTCGAGTAGACAAAGAGCACTTAAGCCATGGATAACTCCAGGTTTATTACGCTGTATTCGCCATAGGGATAGGTTACACAAAAATCTAATGAATGACCCCGAAAATTGTATTCTTAACATTTCATATAAGCGGTATCGTAATTTTTGTAACTCCCTTTTGAAGAAAACTAAAAGAAGTTATGAAAAATCTTTACTGAATGCTGCAAAAACTAACAAAGAGACGTGGACTGCAATCAAACAAATTGTGGATATTTCTAAGCTAAATGTTACGGCCGACGATCTTCTATCATCAACGGATATAAAGAGTATCAATGACTACTTTTCTAACGTTGGTAAACAGTTAGCTGATGCAATAACTCCTCCAACTAATCTTAACGCAGATTCTTTCGAACTCACGTCTACTGCAAATTCCTTGGTTCTGCTTGCGCCGGACGAATCCGAAGTGGAATCTTTGATCATGAATCTTAAAAACGATTGTGCCACTGGCTGGGACTCTATCCCAGTAAAATTCCTTAAGTTGGCCAAGAATATCATAGTCCCGCCACTCACTAAGCTGATTGAACTTTGTTTGAGCCAAGGTATCTTCCCGAAGGCATTTAAAAAGTCACTCATAACACCTGTACATAAAAGTGGCTCTAGACAGGACATCTCTAATTATAGGCCTATTTCTGTTTTAACTTCTTTATCCAAGATCCTTGAAAAAGTATTAAATAATCGGTTAGTATCATTTCTTGAACAACATTTTATTCTCTCTAAATCCCAGTTTGGCTTTAGGTCTGGTGTAAGTACTGATGATGCTGTCAGTCAATTAACAAACTACGTTATCTCTAAAGTTGATTCCGGAAAAAAGTGCCTAGGTATCTTTCTCGACCTTGCCAAGGCCTTCGACACTGTTTCGATTCCTCTACTGGCAGATAAACTTTATCGAATTGGCATACGTGGCAGCGCCCTTGGTGTTTTTAAAGACTTCTTGTCTGACCGAACTCAGCAGGTTAGGATCGGCGAAAGTATAAGTCCGGAAGCTCCAGTGGTCTATGGGGTCCCCCAGGGCAGTATACTTGGCCCAAGCCTCTTTTTGGTTTACATAAATGACCTGTGTCAACAAAAACTTTTAAATGGCGAGATTTTCACATATGCTGACGATACGGCGCTGGTCTTTTATGGTAACACCTGGAAGGAGGCTCAACGTAACGCTGAATTGGGACTTCATAGGGTATACTACTGGCTGAGAGTCAATCTACTCACTCTAAATTTGACTAAAACCACGTTCCTTCAATTTACCTTTGCCCACCATGCCCCTCCTGAACTCAACGTGAAGGTCCATTCTTGTACCAACCTTGAGGACACAAACTGTACATGTTTAACTCTATCAAGATCAACCACTATTAAATATCTTGGTGTAACCCTGGATGGTAAACTTAGTTGGCGGCCACATATAGATCTCTTGGCAACCAGAACTAGAAAACTTATCTGGGTGTTCAAGAAGTTAAGACATGTTGCTGATTGGGATCTTCTACGCCAAGTGTATTATGCCCTTGGCCAGTCCATTCTTGGATACTGCATCGGTGTATGGGGTGGTGCTTGTAAAACCATCCTGATAGGTCTGGAGCGGGCCCAGAGATCTCTTCTAAAGGTCATGACCTTTAGCCCGTATAGGTTTCCCACGATATCTCTGTTTGATAAGTGTAAAGTTCTGTCTGTTCGACGTCTGTACGTATTGCAAGTAGTCTTAAAGCAACACAAAATTACTCCATATTATGATCATCAAAACTATACGATCAGCAGGACAATTAGAAATGTTTGCGAGTCCATAAAGTGCCATACAGCTTCCGCTAAACGTCAACAACCNTTTTGACTAACTGAATGGAGAGCCATAAAAAATATTTTTTACTATAGGTATGGGTTGAAACCCTTACTGAACCCACTACCTACTGTAATCGATTATGACAGTCAAAATGATCCCACCAAAAACATTCTGTAAAAAACTAGCCAAGTCTCGATGGAGCTGCTTGTTTATCTCTAAAAAGTAATGAAATCTAGACAAAGTCGTGCCAAGTCTATGGTTCCTTACTGCGATTTCTTTATTATTATAGTTAATGTTGTGTGACTTGGCCGTTGAANTTGTACCAACCTTGAGGACACAAACTGTACATGTTTAACTCTATCAAGATCAACCACTATTAAATATCTTGGTGTAACCCTGGATGGTAAACTTAGTTGGCGGCCACATATAGATCTCTTGGCAACCAGAACTAGAAAACTTATCTGGGTGTTCAAGAAGTTAAGACATGTTGCTGATTGGGATCTTCTACGCCAAGTGTATTATGCCCTTGGCCAGTCCATTCTTGGATACTGCATCGGTGTATGGGGTGGTGCTTGTAAAACCATCCTGATAGGTCTGGAGCGGGCCCAGAGATCTCTTCTAAAGGTCATGACCTTTAGCCCGTATAGGTTTCCCACGATATCNTGTGCGACGTTGTTCGCTCGCACCGACTTGTTTACGCACAAGGGAGGGGCAGGGCGTGCGGGCGGAGTAGTACGGGGGTTCCGCTAGGAAAAGTATAATCAATTAGGGTTCGTGGCAAAAAAAAAATGGGAACCCCTGCCTTAGGCACAGACTAACGCCCGTATTCACAAACGATGCTTGCTTAAATGAAGCAGCCAATCGAACGCACAGCTTTGAATGGAGCTCTATGATTGGTTCGTGTGTCACCCTGTGCGTCCACGCGCACTGTGAAACCTCATGTGTTTGTTTGTTGATATTCCTAATTCAGAACAAAAATATGTTATTTTTTGCTTAAAATTGATTGAATTGTTTGTGTCCCCTTAAATAATGACTAATCATTTGTT